GCCCCAAAGAAGAGGGAGTCAAGCTCTTCTCCAAAGCGCCTGAAGGCAGGACAAGAAGCAACGGATGGAAACTAATCAAGGAGAGAAGCAACCTAGAACTAAGGAGAAACTTCCTGACAGTGAGAACAATTAACCAGTGGAACAACCTGCCTCCAGAAGCGGTGAATGCTCCAACACTGGAAGTTTTTAAGAAGAGACTGGACAACCATTTGTCCGAAATGGTGTAGGGTTTCCTGCCTGAGCAGGGGGTTGGACTAGATGACCTCCAAGGTCTCTTCCAACTTTATTATTATTATTATTATTATTATTATTATTATTAGGATGCGTCGGAATGGCAGCTAATGGAGCAAACTAGCAAAGAGTCGCCTTAAGCTTGCTACCAGCCCAAATAATCCAACTTCCTTCGGAATAAACTGGATTCCGATCTAGGCATTGGTGGCCAGAGAGCTTCTCCCCGACCTGGATCGTTTTTACCTCACCCGGAGGCTGACTCAAAATGGCAGCCTGAGGCGACGAGCTGAGGCTACCTTCCGCGGGGCACGTGACGTAGCCCCGCCCCGTTCTCGGGCTCCGCCTCCTCCTTCCCCTCCCCGCCGTCACTCCCCGCTCCACCAATTGCGTCACAAGGACCCAATTGCCCGCCGCCTCTTCCCAGGGTTGGGCGGGGCGTTGTGGGGAGCGGCACCGCTCTCGCGGCCTGAGAGTCCTTCTCCTCCTCCTCCTCCTCCTCCACCCAATTTCTTTTCAATCTTCGTCGCACCCGGCATCCGGGAGCCAATCCCGTGTCGCTTGGGGGCGGGGAGTGGCAGGCGCCGCCGCCAATGGAGTGACCAAGGCGTCGGCCCGCGAGTGGGAGGAGCCTCCGGCGTCGGCGGCGGCGCAAGGTGTGTGAAAGGTCGTGGCGGAGGGGGCGTCTCGATGGGAGTCGTTATCCGGCCGGGAATCGGCGGGAGCGCCGGCGTCGGGCCTGCACAGGTGAGGCGAGCAGCGGGGACGAGGGGTCGGGCAGGGGTCAATCGGTCGCCAGGCTCGAGATCCGGAGGCGCCTGTCCATCCGCGGGCCGCCTTCTCCCCCCCCCACACCTTCGTCCCCGTGGATGCGGCTGGATTATCCTCCCTCCCTCTGTCCTCCTCCAGACGGGCTGGACTACAACTCCCATCATGCCTCAGGCAGCCCGTTGGGACGCCTTGCCTTGGCATCGCCCTTGCCTGTAGTTTTCTCCCTCTCCCATTTGCATCCTGCGTGGAGTTGGGCAGGACGCGGCTTCCTCTCTTCCTCGGAGAGCTCGGGGCCCCTCGGTGGGAGGGGAGGGGGCTGGTTTTTTACCTTCACAACAACCCTGCGAGGTAGGTTGGGGAGAGAGAATGTAACTGGTCCACGAAGGGCACCTGTGAAATGGCATTTGGGGGGGGCTTGGTCACTGCACTGACTTTATTGTGGGGGGGGCGGGAGAGAGCTCCTGGGGGGGGATTCTCTCCTAACCTACCTCTCTTCCCCCCCCCCAATTTTATTTCAAGGGCATTTTAATTCGGGATTTTTGTAAAGGTGTCCAAGGAAGTCATAACATGTTCTTTCTTTTTTTTAAAGACTCTTCCAACATTTTGAATGTGATGATGATGATGATGATAATAATAATAATAATTAATAATAATAATAATAATAATATTATTATTATTATTATTATTAATAATAATAGTAATAATAATAAAGTTGGAAGGGACCTTGGCGGTCATCTAGTCCAACCCCCTGCTCAGGCAGGAAACCCTATACCATTTCAGACAAATGGCTGTCCAGTTTCTTCTTAAAAACCTCCAGTGTTGGAGCATTCACCGCTTCTGGAGGCAGGTGGTTCCACTGGTTAATTGTTCTCACTGTCAGGAAGTTTCTCCTTAGTTCTAGGTTGCTTCTCTCCTTGATCAGTTTTCATGGAGAGACTCTACAGGGTGGCTCTACAGTGGTCAAAAACAACTGGGTGGCATTGAATAATGTACAAAAAGTAAAGACTTGGGTTGGGAAGTTGGGTGCTTGAGATTCGACCTGCTCAAAGGGACAATAATCACAGAAACCTTACAGGGAAAAAAATGGGTAGGTCGGTTTGCCTTGGGCAGCAAAAAGGAGACGAAATTTGGGGCTTTCTCAAAAGGTTATGAGGAATGTCTACGAAGAGCTCTCCTGGATCAACCGAAGATCCTTCTAATCTGGGATCTAGTTTGCAGCCCTAGTGTGCTTCCTTGACAAAATTCCTGAGCAGGATATGAAGGCGATGCAACCCTCCTAATTGCTTCTCCTACCTTAATTGAGAGGTATGGAGAGAATAAGATGCATCTTGAAGATATCGGTGATTAAATTCCCCCAGAAAGAGGCAAAGAACGATAAAGCAGAGAAAACATACAGAAATTGTTGTTGTTAGTTGCGAAGTCGTGTCCGACCCATTGCGACCCCATGGACAACATATAGAAATATGTCTATATAATGGAG